CTCAAACTGATTAATAGTTATTAGAGAATTTTTGTTATCAATCATAAGTCTTGAAGCTTGTGGTCCTATGAAAGCAATGTTTGGTCAAACCTTGACCTTGCATGTGTTATTTTCAAACTTTCACAGACCAAGAATTTAATGATATTTTGACTTGTACTTCTAATTGTTTAGTTTTCAATTTTACCTTGATGCATGAATTTCCTCAAAACATTATACAATTTTGTTGTTATCTGTCCAAATGTTATATGAAGAAACACTTGTGAAGATGTGAAGTACATGATAGTTTTTATATACATAAAACCTCAACAAACTTTTCCTATTTATAGTCTCATGATCTTTGGTTGTTCTACTTGGATATTATTTCTTTTGATGTTGTCATCAATTCGTTATGTTTTCATCTTTTATATTCTTCTTCTAGTCACAGTCTTCATGCTATGACCTTATCTTAATCTTCAATTGTGTTACAAAATGCTATATGTAACTCTTCTTGATCTGAGTTCCCAAGTCCATGTCTCTGTTTTGTCTGAACAACAATGGGATGTTATTTCCAAACAGTGCTCTTACTTCTCATCACTGTCTCATTCTCCTTACTTACCGAATCTGTTAAACCTAACCGAATGGCTATGAAGCTGATACACCGTGAATCGGTGCCCCATCTCAACTCAAAGGCTCGAGTTCCGGCAAGTCTAGAGGATCATATCGAACACCTGGCAGACATTTCATCAGCTCGGTTTATATATCTAAAGAATTCGATCGATAAAGAGCTAAGCAACAGCGATTTCCAAGTCAATGTGCAACAAGCAATCAAGACATCACTGTTTTTTGTGAATTTCTCGGTAGGACAGCCTCCGGTACCACAGTTCACCATCATGGACAGTGGAAGCTCACTTTTGTGGATCAAATGTCTTCCCTGCAAACATTGCTCATCAGATCATACGTCTCCTTCTGTCTTCAATCCGGCATTGTCTTCAACATTTGTAGAATGTTCCTGCAACGATCCCTTTTGCAGGTATGCACCAAACGCACAGTGCGGCTCTTCAAACAAGTGTCTTTATGAACAAGTGTACATAAACGGTGCTGGCTCAAAAGGTGTTCTTGCTAAAGAACAGTTAACGTTCAAAACACCTAACGGAAACACTGTTTTGACCCAACCTGTTGCTTTTGGTTGTGCCCATGAGAATGGAGCTCAGTTGGAGAGTGAGTTCACAGGTATTTTGGGTTTAGGAGCAAAACCAACTTCGCTGGCTGTACAGCTCGGGTCAAAATTCTCTTACTGCATCGGTGATTTAGCTAACAAAAACTACGGTTTCAATCAGCTGGTTCTGGGTGAGGACGCAGATATTCTCGGCGATCCAACACCCATTGAGACAGAGAATGGTGTATACTATATGAATCTTGAAGGGATTAGTGTTGGGGGGAAACAACTGGATATCGAACCAGTGGTATTCAGAAGAAGAGGGCCAAGAACAGGGGTCATACTCGACTCGGGGACAATCTTCACTTGGCTAGCAGATATAGCATACAGAGAACTCTATAATCAAATAAAATCCATTCTGGATCCACAATTAGAGAGATTCTGGTTCAGGGACTTCCTGTGCTACCACGGAAGAGTGAGCGAAGAGCTAATAGGATTCCCCGTGGTGACATTCCACTTTGCAGGCGGAGCTGAGATGGCTATGGAGGCCGCAAGCATGTTTTATCCGCTGTCAGAATCGGACAACGTCTTTTGTATGTCGGTGAAGCCAACGACAGAACATGGAGGGCAATATAAAGATTTCACAGCTATTGGGCTAATGGCTCAGCAGTACTATAATATTGCTTATGACCTCAAAGAGAAAAACGTCTATCTCCAGAGAATTGACTGTGTTCTACTCGATGACTATTCCCCATCGTGATACGCAGACACAGAGCCTAGAGTGTTTGTTTACCTGCTGAATGTAATTGTACATTTGAAGGAAGTGTTCCCCAAATTCATGTTGTATTCTACACCAAAACTCCCATCTTGTTTTTGTCTTGTCGACTTGCCCTTTAGAAGCATTCTTCTATCTCTTTTTACAGGACTTTTCATCTTCCCCACCTCCCTAATTCAAGGCACAGAGACATGGTAAAGTAAAGGTCCTATTCACAAAGGTATTGGCTATGGAGACAGAATCTAAAGTAAAATCTTGAATCGGAAAATCAGATCCGATCCTATGACTATGTAATTACCAATCCGATACTCAAATTAAGCTCAAGTAAGTGAAGAATCGGGAAAATCATTAAAAAGTACATTGCAAGCAATGATGAGACGATAGATATCACGGACCAATCCCATAAAATCCCCAAACCCTAAAAAGTCCGTTACCCGCAGCCCAAGTTAACCAAAACCCTAACCTAGAGTCTCCTTATATCTCTATATAAGGCCACGAAAGTGAGGAGAAAGATCAGAGTTGCACAGCTAGCAAAACCCTATTGATCTCGCTCTAGCCGTCTTTGCCTTCTCAGTTAAACCAGTTCCGAGTTGCTGTTTTGTGGGGCTGATTGCCGGCGGCTCAGAAGGACTTAGATCGTGATTCATATATCTCTGGAAAGATCACGTATTCTAGTTTCTGTAGATTCTTTCGGATTCGAATTACGATGTATAATCTACTCATATATCGTATTTGAATATCAGGAAAAATCACTGTTTTCTGAAATTGGAATTCATGTTTTTAGATCCGATCAGCGGACTTGCGGGCTTGTTTACTGTCGATCGATAAGGACCCAGGAGACTATCTATATATCATTGGAAAGCCCCGAGTCTTGGCTTCCTTAGCCTTGTTGATTGGATTGAAACAGAAGACTGAAATAGGAAGGATAAGCTACTGCTGATCTGCATTCAAGAGATAAAGTTTAATATTCCATTATTAAACTTTCTACAATACTTAATCGGTTCGGCCAGCATGTACCAGTCTGACAAAACAGATATAACTTCTTACGTATACCTCTGCTAAACCTGAACTCGGTGTCTCTGGGAAGCCAAGACTCGGGGCTTTCCAATGATATATAGATCGTCTCCTGGTTCCGTATAGATCGACAGTAAACAAGCCCGTAAGTCCACTGATCGGATCTAAAAACATGAATTCCAGTTTCAGAAAACAGTGATTTTTCCTGATATTCAAATACGATTTGTGAGTAGACTATACGTCGTAATTCGAATCCGAAAGAAGCTACAGAAACTAGAATCCGTGATCTTTCCAGAGATGTACGAATCACGATCTAAGTCTTTCTGAGCCGCCGGAAATCAGCCCCACAAAACAGCAACTTGGAGCTGACTTAACTGAGAAGGCAAAGACGGCTAGAGCGAGATCAATAGGGTTTTGCTAGCTGTGCAACTCTGATCTTTCTCCTCATTTTCCTGGCCTTATATAGAGATATAGGGAGACTCTAGGTTAGGGTTTTGGTTAACTTGGATTGCGGGTAACGGGTTTTTTAGGGTTTGGAGATTTTATGGGATTGGACCGTGACAATAGAGCAGACGTTGTGGAAGATGACAGAATCACCATCATCGTTTCAGTGGATCAAATAGAAAAACTCATTAAGCTGATTTAGGCCCAAAAACCAGGCCCATTAAATAACTATTTTTTTCATCAATTTGAGATACTCTAGTCTGTGTTTACGGTGTACTCCTCTATTGTCTGGAATACTCGTTTCTCCAATACTCATGTTTGATACAACTAGTTGTACCCTAATTGTATCATATTAATATTACTTGATAC